AATTCATATTTGTACATTTTTTCTTTCCTTTTACTTCTCTGAATAATGGGGTCGACCAATAATAAAATACATAAATTTCTTGCTTTAAGCCTATCTCGGCGCAGGTGTAGCGCAATTCTCATCGAAAGTGGCATTTTGGCGCAAGATGTAGCAGACCTCCCTTCATGGTGCAATTTAATGCAAATGGCACAGCACTTCCATCACTGCACCAGTCTTCCAATCTCCTCTATGTTATTAAAATGCATCCATTCTTCCATTCTCGTCTGCCAACCCCAGCGCTCCGGCTACATCCATCGCCATCTCCAAGAGGGCGGGAGCTAGCACCGTGCACCTCAACACCACATGTTCTGTTGTCTCGTCTTCCCCTTGGCATAAGGCATGCCGCGTATTCATTTACTCATACTTTGTCCTATGTGTCCTAGTCGTCAATGCTCCAGTTCTAGCCTCGAATAACGACGAGCTCCCCCGTGAATTATTGAACCAACGTTCCTTCCTTATTTCCTGTTTTCGTCCCCTATACGAAGTTAAGGCTGATTTTTCCTGCATTCTTTCCTCCCACACCTTTCTTTCGGCTTTGTTGGTATTTGCATTTTAGTTTTCGGGTTCGATTTGTCCACTTAATGTTCAAAATTTTCATGTATAGATGCTTATATACCTTTCTCACCCATCATATATCCTCAACTGTGTCTAGTATTAGTTTGAATTTCAACCTACTGATCGCCTCTCTAGCCTCGAAAGATGCCCATGTCTCCCTGCAGTCCCTCGTTTGGTGTAGTCCCATGTTCCCCCAGAACCAGTCTGCCCACGCTCCTCTGCCGTGCCTCTAAGCTCGACTGGACCTCAGATTTTACGCATGCATTGTCAGAAGACAACCCCGGCACCATGACTCCTTTCCGTATTCCCTTAAGAATAATTCTTATCTATTGTAATTCTATAGTGCCCTATGCTTCATAATCGCTGCATTCCTTTTTCCTTTCTTCAGCATATTTTCGTTCTGTTGTTCTAAGTATTGTTTTCCCGCATTCAGCCATAATCCTAGGTATTTATACATCTTTACATTTAAAAGATCTTGAATGTTCAGCGGGTCCCCCTTCTTATCGTTATAAACCATTATTTCCAACTTGTCGCTGCTGAACTTCAGGCCCAGAGACTCTCTTTCGTCTCCACAGTTCTTAGTCAGCTCGTGTAACCTATCCCGGCTATGTGCCAACAGTACAATGTCGTCTGCGTAGAACATTCCTGGTATAACTTGGTTTACTTTTCCCCCTCTCTCCATATATGTCACATCAAAATCTAAATTGCAATCTTCTAATTTCTTTTCCATTCTACTCAAGTATATCGCAAAAAAGTAGAGGTGATAGGGGACAGCCCTGTCCGAGTCCTCTTTTATTTTTGCCGGGTCCGTTATTCCGGTTTCCCATGCTATAACAACTTTATTATTTGCATATACCCGTTGTAAAAGCCTAGTCAAATGGGTATCGAAATCATACTCTCTCAGCTGCACCCAGAATTTTTCCTGGCTCACACTGTTGTACGCCCCTTCAATGTCTAGAAATGCCAACCATAACGGTTTTTTACTCATCCGTGCCACCTCTATACATTGAGTTATGATGAAAAAGCTATCATCCAACCTTCTATCTCTTCGGAACCCGTTCAGTAGCTCACCTACAAGGCTTGGGTCCATTCTTCCATTCTCATTTTAACTACCTGCCTCACTACTCTGTACAGGACCGAAGTTACTGTTATTGGGCGGTATGATATTATGCTATCCTTATTTACCTTGCCTTTATATAGTAATCTCATTCTGTTTAGTCTTCAATCATTGTTAATCTCGACCATTAATATTTGATAAGTTGCTTGTCTTAGCTTTATTTGCTTTTTGTTCCTAGTGTCTCGACTAGTCTCATTCCTATGCCATCTGGGCCTGTTGCCGTTGCAGCAGGTACTTTACTTTCTGCTCTGCCCCATTCCCTCATGGTCCTCTCAGTTGTCTCGCTAGTGTACTCAGCTTGTGCCATGTTGCTGTTCGGGTTCTGTACAATCTCGTTCAGTTCAAGTTCTGCGAATGTTGCCTCGATAGTTTGTCTAGTAAATTCCTTTGCCTCCTCGCCCCTTACACTCATCCCCTCTTGCGTGGTCAATGAAAAATGGAACCCTTCTGTTCTTCTCCCCTGCGCATTAATGTGCTCCCAGAACCAATTTGCTGCATTCCTATCATTTTGATTTACTTCCATCATCCATTGCACTCCAGCCCTACCAATCTTGGCCTGGATGAGAGCAGATGCCTCTCTTCTTCTTTCCTGAAATGTATTCCATTTCGATGCTACCTCAGCGGATGCATCCCCTTTTTTCTTTGCCCATCCGTGTTCCCTCGAGGCGCCTTAACTTCACTGTCCCACCAGCCTTTTGGTGTGCGTTTTCTTTTCCTTCTTCCTCTTTCAGAACTTGTCTAATTCTCTTTTAAAAGTGTTTACTAAATCGTCATATGTCCATCCAGTTGTCTAGATACAATGGTCTCAATTCGTTTTGATACTACTTCTTGTAGTTGGGCATCGCTTAGGGCCAAACCACTTTTTCCTTCAAGAATTGGTCTTTGTGGTTCTGCTGTACCAAACTTTATTTTAAGTTGCTTAGGATCACTTTCTAAGATTTTCGTGCCTTTCTCATCTCTTTCGATGTGTCCTAATATGTTATACAATTTGCTAGACATTAGACAGTAATCAATTGTTGAGTGTGAATTGTTTCTCTCCCACATTATTTTTCCGTCGGATTTTATTTGGGCGTTAACAAGACTAGATCAAGAGCATCGCAGAATTCTTGTAGCCTCCTCCCTGTAGAATCTGTATATTCATCAAAGTCTTCCAAGTGTGCATTGATGTCTCCTAAGATAATTATTTCCCAATTACTTCCTATTTCTCCGACATCTTTGGAAGTACACATCAAGTGCTGCGCATTTTCCTCCCTCGAATTAGTTCCAGTTTTCAGATATATAAATCGTATGAGCGTGTCTAAACCTCCACATCACCTTTTAACCACATGTGTTCCTGCACTTACTCTCACCCTTTCCCAGCCCTGTCCTTTCACTAGCGCTCCCAATCCATCTCCTTTCCATTCCCCTTCCCGTCGATTGCATTGCACCCAGAAATAACCTGCCAAGTCTAAGATGAGTCTCTGCCAAACCATGCACTACAAAATCTCCATTGTTTAATTGTTCCGCAAACCCCACCCACTTCAATCTATTTCTGCCCCCCCCCCCCCCCCCCCACCTCCCTGCATGTTTATAAATCCCCCTATTGAGTCAGTTCTTTTTCCTTCTGTGAGGCTTCCTCCTAGCCTTCTTATTCGCATTTGAGCCTGCTACCAGAAGGCTCTGCGGGCTCCTTTGCCATCCTGCCTGTCCTTCGCCCCACCTGCATCCCTGTCGGTTTCCTACAGGGGATGCCGTCTCGGCACAACGGGGGGATTGGATTCTCCCTGTTCACATTCGTAACCTCACATACGTCCTTAGACCTCAGTCTCTCGATGGTCCCGTTGGCCTCCTGGACTGCCCTCTTTGTACCTACTCCTCGGCTTCTGACCTCCGGGACGGAGCACATTACAATGTGCACCGTCCCAGAGGTTATGACCCTCAACTGCTTCACATTGCAACTTTTAATTGAATCAAAATTGGGGAATTTACGTGCCAAAAAAAGACTAACTCTTAAAGGGGGTGCAACAATTTTAAAATTAAAAGAATTTGCATCTCGTCATTTTTACGTTGTTTATCGTGTCCCAGAGGATAGAGAAAACATCTCCTTCATTAAAAAAATGTAGCGATTCCGCTGCATAATCATAAAGCAAAAGTCTAGCTTTTTCCCTCACCTGCAGCCACGAGTGGCGGCCAAAGAACTACGGCGAAAAGCTTACGTGACCTCGCTCGGCTCTAAGCTGCAGTGTAACGCCTGCTAATGTCAGCAGAGAGAGGGAGAGACAGCGTCCTCCGAGAGAGCACACGGGAAGCTACATAGTACTCCGAATGACGTCACTAGGAGGGGGACCAGGTGTGACCCTGAAGACTGGGAGTGAGTTGAGGAGTGCCAGAAATGCCAATATTTACCTTTTTTTTTTTTACACAACAACTAGGACAAGCAGGCGAAATCGGTTTTCTGTTCTTAACTTCAGAAGAAGTGTCAGAGGGCAACTTCCACAAATTTTCGACCCAAGTCCGGAAATTGTTGCACCCCCCCCTTTGAATCCTTGTAAAAAAAAGGCTCAAAGTACACCTAAGCACTTCTTATGAGTTGCGAATGCGAAAGCATGTACGCCGTTCCTCCGCGCCCTTACCTCGTCTGCGGTGTACGTGCGTCGACGGTCGAGCGCGGGCGCTCTCCTTACCACGCTGATTTTGGGCGTGGAGCGGTGGAGCCCCTGTCTCGCGGACACGCAGTGCCATGGGGAGGCAGAATTACAACTGACGCACGGCAGCTTCGTATCACTGACATCTTGCGTGGCTTTCTGCATGGTTTCAAAGCTGGGATGCCTCAGATCGCGGCTTCGGGAATTTATCTGCCGTTTGGCGCGGCTGATGACGTTGGCTTGCTTCATGGGACCAGTTAATGCTTTCGCATTAAAAGCAGTGACGGGTGTCGAACTCGGAGGTAGAGAGCACGTGCCTCTACCTTGTAACAGCTTCCCAGCACAAGCTGCACTTCTTTATAATAACATCTCAGTGCGAATTACGCCCATCTGCCGATTCGAGCGTCTTCAGAAAGAGCCCTTTATGCTGCCAGTCCGCTCATACCAGTTCGGTCCACCAGTGCCATAGTACTCAGCAACTTTTTTTATTATTATTTTTTATTCCAAAATACTATCAGCCTCTGTTAAAGCTATGCTAGGATGGGTATACAAGTGTACAAAGAAAACAACAAGAGCAGCACATACTTGAAAAAGTACTATAAAAGATATCACCAAATAATCGCGCTGCCAGCGTCACTGCCACACAATTGTCTTTGCTAGCTCACCAGTAGAGTATGCTGATGTAGGCGCCGTAGCCAGCAAAGCAGTGCCAGAGAGCGTGGAACTGCGAGAAGGGCACCACCAGGGGCGGCAGACTGGCCCGGGCAGAGCTGGCAGAGAGTGGGTTGTGAGCCCCAACCCCTGGCCCTTGCGGGGCACTCACCTCAGCTCTGCGCAGAAGCTGTTGTCTACGTTCCAGACGAGGAACCCCGTCAGGTACAAGAGGGTGGCCGCAGCAAACAGCCACACCTCAAAATACTGCTGCCTGAAACATCAAAAGCATAAAGAAGTCGCTACTTCTGTCTAAAGAAAGCCGCATAACACCTGGCAAGCGCCATATGCCGAGAAGAAATGACTCCGACACGTCGTCCGCCAAATGAAACGCTCCTTCCTGATCGCAAGACTGCTTTCCAGAGGGGAGACACGCGCTGCCATCGCTGAGAGCTGAATTCCCTCTGCCAATCGTCGTGCTCTTCACGGCGAATGTTGCCGGTCAAGAAATGCGATGCATTGGTGCTTTCTTCTTCTCAGCTACAAGCCCCACATTTCTTAACTAGAGACAACACAAAAGCTCCCATCTACCGTAGAATACCGTGCAGTCGCCCATTCCACACTAAGCACCTATTCACAGATTTGTAAGATCTGAGAAAATATGCCCAATATATTTATATGTGAAATTGATGACCGGACAAGCGCCCATCCCCATTTCTTTCGCAATTACCTCCAAATTCTGAGTGGGTGCTTGCCCGATATTTTACGGTAGCTGAACCTCAACAACAAAGTTAACGAAATTCCTAGAATATAATCCGCATACAAAGAAGCAAATTACGGACACACGGAAAAAGATGACCCGTTTGCGCAATTATTTCACCAGCAGGTTCAACTCTACGGGTCTAGCGACAAAATCTGCATCATTTCTTTGTCTTTTCTGGAGTACCCGTCTCGTTAACCTGCGATTGTTTTGCCAATGCGCTCAACTTTTCAACATTATAAAAATCCCAGCCACTCCAACCAAACGAATTAAGGGGGCCTTCTTCCATCTTTGCAGATAGTAGTCGATGCACTGTACAATTGACAGGTATTTACACAGCCGTCCCCAACCCCCGGCAGTAGTCATTCAATATTTGCCTTCCTTTACTAACAGAAAAAGAAAAACAAAAAGGTGGTGATTTGGGGGGCGGGGGCAGTTTGCCCCCCAAACCGCCTCCTGCCTACGCCACTGCTGCACAGTGGTGTGAGCAAAAAAACGCTAACAAGCTGGCAAGTCTACAACTGATATAATATTCACTTCCAAGAGACACAATTGATAGGCTCCCCATTTCTATGGCGTCTTTTGCGCACGCCACTGTGCAGTATTTTCAGATAGACCATAAGAGGGTGCTATTTTTGAAGGAGTCCATACTCACACCTAACAAAGTTTTTAGATATCTATTGTTTTTGGGTTAGTAATCTCAATGCGATTGTTTCTTCGTCCCGGCTCGTACCGCGAGCTACAACAGCAATGCGTATGCATACATATGGCAATTTTGTCACTCTAGTCACACGATTGCTTACGCCAGCCAACGCGAGTAAGTTGCCAGTCGCGTGAGAGCTCTGCTACGTCAGTGACACTATTTGTCAAAAGATAAGGCCAGTTTGAGCTTGGGAATGGAAAACGTGAAAATACAGAAATAGAAAAATAGACGGAGGTGCTGCTGGACTACTAACCATGGTTTCATACGTCTTTCTCTTTGCACGCCTAGACTATCTGCTTCTTTTCATTCTTAATCCTGAGAGCCACAAACAACCTCAGTTTGAAATGACCCGAATTTCAGCGGCACGTGAAACACCGCGAATACTGTTTTCCTTTTGAGTTGAGCTTGACAGAGGGCGCGCTGATGCATGCTGCTTCTTTTTCTTCGATGGCCATAGTCTCAAGCATCTCTCGTGCATGAGCACTTCTCTTTTTTGCAAGGAAGGTGATGCTGCTGAACGCTGCGATGCATTTTGTGGGGATTTTGTGATCTCCTTTCCCCCATGGCAGTAATACCGGCCGCAAGTCGGAACGCTCGGCCTCCTTCATCGTGGGCTCCGACCTGTTCATGAAGCGGAGAATCCCGTCTTGGAGGGCCCTCCCCTCACTCTCTCGCTTCCCCTGCTCAGATGCTAATCACTACTGACAGGCGAGGAGGTTTTGCTTCTCGTTTTCCCGCTTAAGGGAGAGGGACTCGTGCGTTGACTGCGACAGGATAGGACGTGTACCGGCAACTTCTCCGATCTTGGCTCTCCGGAACCCCACATTTAGCAGGTAAGTACCTTTCCTTGCCGGTGTGGGGGGGGGCATCTTGGATGGAGACGTGGTAGTTCATTTTGAGAGTATTTTAATAAATGTTTTTGGACTATGTCCGTACTATGATACGTGTGTCTTATCTTCCGCTATATTCGAGAGTGAGACAAGGTGGTCGATCATTGGCACGGACGGAGGTGTCTACCGAATTGACCCAGGTAATGCAGCCCTAAAGTTTGTCTATATTGCAGCGGAGATGTGAGGACTGCACTACTAAGTTTGAAGTCTGTTTTGAGATCGCTGCCGCTGTTGAGATAACCCTTTGGTTACTCTATCGATACTTCTGTTAGTACCTAACAATCCCACAATTCACAGGTGCGGCAATAAACTAGTACAATAGTTCTCAACCACTGATGTTTCACGCACCCTTTCTGGATCGGCGGAGATGATGGAGGACCCCGTTCGTGGTGAGGGGAAGGGAAAGGTATAGGTTAGTTGTAATAATAATTTGATAAATGGATATAAAAGGGCTAGTATGAAGTAAACTTTTCTTATTGGCATATGCACGGGAAAACTCACACGAAAATTGGAAAGTTTCTTCTCAACCTGAAAAAAAGACAATTTTTATTGCCGGGCTTGGTTGATGAGGCATGGCTTCGCGGACCCCTAGAATGCCTTCGCGGACCCCAAAGGGTCTGCGGACCCCCATTTGAGAACCACTGAGATAGTAGATGACCCGCTCTAGCGCCCTTCACAGATGCTGCGTGCTCTCTTGTCCCATCGTTTACGCACCTGCCAGCTTGGCCACTGTAACATTTGCCACACGATAGGAGAATGCGATACGCAACCCTCGTGTCACACGGGGCGTGTCTTGTGAGGAATGTAGCACATTTTCCTCTGGCTGGTGTTGCGGTTTATTTGGCAGCACAAAGAATACGTCTTCTTTGGTGCAGAACACACAACCTTAATCTCCTGTTTTGTGGCTACCTTTCTTAATTCGTAGGTTATACCATGAATGTAGGGTACTAGCGTGATTTTTTGTTGAGTTCTTGTCTTCTTGTAATGTAATGTTTTATTTGCTCAGGAGAGCCGCGGCACCGCAGAAAGGCAAGAGCCCGTACCAAGTCCGTACCCATACTTCTCTCTGCATCAGCTGATATGCATAAAATGCTGCACTGCAAATGCAATGCAGCATTGAACAGCATCACCATCCTTGCAAGAAACAAAAGCCCGTATGCACAAGAAATGCTTGGAAATGAAAGAAAAAGAAGCAACATGCATCAGCGTGCGTTTCATAAAGCTCTACACAAAAAAAGAAGCATGTGTGGTGCTTCATGTCCCGCTGAAATGCGGGTAATTTCAACCTGCGGTTATATGTGGCTCTCAGAATTGAGAAGCAAATAGTCTAGGTACACGAAGAGGAAGAAGTATTAAACCATATCTCTGTTTCTTTTTCTATCTCTGTATTTTCACGTTTTTCTCCTTAGGTTCAAGCTGGCCCTGCCCTAGTACAATGCACCAACCACTGATCTCTATAGCAGTAGGCTGGATCGCAGATCGAGAGTCTTGACACCGGGCAATACACACGAGTCTATGGGAGAAACACACGAAAGTAGGAATATTGAACCTTCTACGCGGTGCTCGAAGACGAGTATTTTATTATGTGCTGCGATCATTATTTCGGGTGTTTGGAAATCGAATCAGTATTTGTCAAGCATTCGAAGGCCGATTAAAAAAAAAATCAGATCTGCCGAAGCACCAATGACTGTGCCGGCGTCGCTTGCTTCAGTCACTAAATAAATGGCACGTGCAACAAATAAATGACACGCTCCGAATTTAAGTTAGTCACAGAAGCCCTCACTGCAGGTCAAAGCAAAAGTTTGCATCAGAAGTACTATGTACAAGCCCTCAAAACGACACGAATGCCCCCAGTAAATGCATTCTAACTTATCGTCTGCTAAGTTCCGATGACTCCGAGATCACGAACGCCTCCACATTGACTCACGGCAATCCTCGTCTCACTGAACCGCATTGCAGTTTACGCCCAACAAAGTGGAAACTCTCAACCCTGAATCGCAATACATTTACTTAAAAAAAGATTGGAATTCTCCCAGGATATTAACTGTCATTCCCCGAAAACACAATAAAAGTTTTACCGTCGAGAACAACCTGCTAAGGTAACAAATTGCAGTTTAACCCATTACTCTCCTAGAGCCCCATGGATTAGCTGGTGTCGAGCGATGGCTGTTGGTGGTTCCGCTCAACCCCAGTAAGTCAAGCCTCTATCTGCGATAATACAATAAAGATCAGTGGCAGCAACTAGCTCAACTCAAGCCCGTCACTCACTAATTGTTCTCACAGTCACTTAGCCTTTTGTGGCTTGCGTTTTCACCAAGTTACCCACGCCAAAAACCAAGGTCACCCAAAGAGCTTAGTTCGGAAACTGCCATAAGAGTCTGCTTTGGAGAACTGGCTCCAATTCATACTTTGGCACATAGCTCGACGAGATCATAGCGCTACCGTTTCTGCCACAGTGGCCAATCCGGGAACTGTACATACCGGGACGAAAACAAAAAAGACAAAAATCTTATCTGCGTCTGCAAAGTAAGCCTTCTCTGAATGCCCCCGGCTCAAAACAGATTATGTACCACCAACTAACCGCCAAACTACGAACTAGTGGAATGAAGTGACTGCCAAGGTGGAACACTGTAATTGAATCTGGCTTGCAGTGGTTCCAGTGAATGCGAGGGTCCCAGTTCCAAAGGTGAGTTTCTCAACAGAGTTTTTCTAGTAACGTTTCCCAGACCATTCTACGGAATAATCTGAGCGAGATATTCACCATGCTAGCCTAAGACTCATGAAGAATGTCACGGCCACCAGGAACCCGTAAGCGACCTGCAAAGAAACAGAGCAGTTAGTCGCGAGCCTGGTCAGACATTCCCGTGCATTGACCGGGACAATACCTGGTGAAACACGGGAACTTTGATTGTCAGGTAAACCTGCAAAGCAAACCGGGAGCTGCATCAGGAAAAGCCAGGGCATTCCAACCACATAAAATCAACAAAAGTACACGTAACCAAGTTTATCTATGCCTGAAAAATTGTCTTGTCACAGTATCAGTCTAGAATTCCAAGGGAAAACTCTTAACTAGGAAGCGGAAAGTGAGAACCTGATATCTTTAATGCCAGTCAGAGATGAGAGCCACATGTACATAAGGCACTGGAGTAAATCAGCCATCGCCAGTTTTGTCATTTTTTCCGTGAAAATCAAACGAATGCCATAAAACCTGTGGTGGAACGGGGGATCAGTGGCAGAGTATATTAGTGCACCACAGCTCAGAGCAGGTGGAGCGAAAGCTCATGCTGCAGAACCCAGGGGTTTGAACCCCACTCCCGCCCATCACGATATGGATGAGCATAGTACTGGCAGGCATCACTACTGTGTGATGCACATTATGGACCCCAGGCTAGCAATGATACTGCGCACTTCTAATCTACAGCATAAAGCAGTTTTGCCACACCTCCAAGGCAGACCAACCTTATGCTCTCAAAACACAAACGTCAGATTTGGTTGGGTGCAGTGAAAAGTCGTGTAAAGTTTATTCAATACTCTGTCCGAATCAAATGCGGAAAAGCACTGACGTCGTGTTTGTGCTAACAGGTTCACCCAGTATACTTCCGTTAAATGCATATGCCAGGCACGACAAGTGATGCCAATTTCTAAAGGTCTAACGAAAAACGGCTGTCGACCCGTCTGCCTCAGTCAGTGCCTCATGGTGTAAAAACACTGCTTTAATTTTCCACACATACAGAGATGAAACCTAAAGTTCCAGAGCAATACTGTTGAGACCGGTTATAACAAGATAGCAGCTACAACAAAGTGATCGCGATTTCCCATTCCCGTTTGCACTTTTTCAACGTATTTGTCACTGATTTTAGCAAATAAAATTGAGTGGCTCGCACGGATATAGCGAAGAGAAATTTTGTGATAGTTTAAGAAATAATCAAATTCGGAAAGTGCACCAAGTCGCAGACCACCACACTTTGATGCTGCAACCAAGCAGCCACCCAAAACGGGCCGCAGACGATGATGCAAAGGCCGCCGGAAGCAGCCTCTGCATCGTTGTCTGCTATCTGAGAAGCGGCTTTTCTGCATCGCACGCAGAAGAAGCCATCATGGCATGCCAATAAAGGCGTTCGGAGCGCTAGCGACAACCTACCGATGGAGAGAGCCTAGACTTAAGAGGGGAAGCAACTCCAACCATGGAGAGCACTTGCAATTTAATGGCGGACGCCTCCAGGGCAGATTGGCGCTAATGCGCCTGCATTTGGTTGTGCGTGACCAGCGTGGCGAGTAAACCGGGCAGAGGGGTGGACAGGTTTGCAGACAGTGAACGCTTTTAAGTTGTGACTCCTTAGAGGCTGCAGCTCGTTTTGCAAATGCAGCCCACAAACCACATGACCCAAATCAAGCAGTTGCCCCCCCTCTTAAATCTACATTGATGATTGAGCGCGCACTCGGTGCCGTGCACATTTCTTTGTTTACTTCGTGTTCGTGTCGGCGTCGCTGGTCAGTGTGGTCGCTCTCTGAGCAAAAGTAACTACGCTCAAGCACTGATTTGCCGAGTCATCGCCACTCAACAATGGACAGTCCCGGCACCGCCGGCACCTTGACGGAAAAGACGAAGGCAATCTCCTTGAATCAAAAGCGTGCCATCTGGGATGAAGTGTGCATAAATGTAAAGAATGCCGTCCATCGCCAGCGTCCTCCGCGGCGGCCGTCGCAGCTGTCGACACGGTCCGTACGTAGCTCGAAGGATCTTTTCTCGATCAGAGCTTCTCGCAGTTTGCGAGAAGCAGCTTTGATTTAGCAGAGAGTACGTGCAGGGAAGCCTCGACCGCTTTCTGCAGGCACAATAAACATGTGCCCGTGACGGACCATGTCATCTCTTTTTTGTGTGTTACTTCTATGGAGTCCAGATATAACGAAGAAGTGGATATGGCAAAGTGATTTCTGATTCCCGTTGACTTCGTTATAACCGGTCTCAACAGTACTGTGACCAGGAATAGTGCATCTTCTATGAGGGCGAATGAGAAAACAGGACAAATGATTCCCGAACAAATGGTCCCGGAAAAAGTGGTCCCAAAGCTGCAAACGACATAGGGCAGTAGTGGTTGAAGCCATTGCTTTCAGGGGGCAATGGTTTTTCATAAGAACTACCAACATATTTTTTTTCTCAACGACATTATTATTATTATTATTATTGGTACCTACTTTGATTAAGAAAACTAATAGACGGCAGGGTTCAAAACAGAATGCAGCCAATGATGCTTTTAGTAGAAAAGCTTGTCTATCACCGAAGAATCAAAGTTAATGTCTACAATGTGGGCATCGAAACACGCTCAAACTTTAGCCTTCGCAATCACTATGCATTAACGGGTAACGGAAGAAATATGGTTTCACAAATTTGACCAGATCAACGTAGGTAGTCATTGTGGCTTTCCAGTAAACATAATCTAAATGTGGATTGTACGACGTGATAAGGTCTCATCAAGAAACATTGTTCATATAAAAGAATTTAGGCTTTCACTCCCGACTTCCTTCTGAAATTACCTGAAAAACACAATTGAGCTGACAATTCACCATGTCCAGAAGTGACCGGTTCGAGAAATTCCAGAATGAATGCGCTTGAAAGTTTGTCATTTTACAACACAGCCCCGTTTTCATGTGGTGAAGTTGTGCTCTTTCCATCTCATGAGGCAGAGAGCCCATTGAGCAGCACTCACTTCAGCTGCCATCCATGGGATCTTTTTCCCGCACGTGCAATATTATAGTGCCACTGACAGTTTAATAACAAAATGACAAGGATAACTATGCGATGCAGGCTTGTAACAGGCTTAACACGAGGAACAATCTGGACTGCAAATGATTTATTAAAATATTGCTCGTGTGAAAAATAATTCTAAATTAGGAAATTTGAATAGAACGGCACTTTAGGTTCAATTGAAGTTATCAAATCTGAAAAAAGAAACCAAAAACAACTGTAATTTCTTTCTTCAGAATTAGCCAGCCCCAAACTATGAGAATAAATTCTTTACTCCATAAAAGAATGAAGCCCACTGACAATATATTTTTCAAGTCTGCCCTTTCTACGAGACCAGTCTTTCCGAAGCCATTTTCTCCAGGGCCATTTTTTCGGAGGCCTTTTGTTCCGAGTTTTCCTAGACCCGGGGCAATGGTATGACATATGTGCATTACAAAGACCATTTTGTAAAACCCAAATGCGTGCCCAATTCTACCATAAAATGAACTATCAGAAATAAATAAACACGAATGCATAACTTGACTGCGAAGATAGGATTTATTTTGTCCAGCAATGCCTGCTCAGTGAGGCAGTTTTTTCAAGGTGCTGCCACTGCTATCATATGCGAATTTATATGGCTGTTTGTGTTCGCTGGGTGCCTTTAAAATGCTGTAAAACTGTTGGCAGCTACATTCACTTTGCTCTGAAAGCTAAAATAAAAAGTTTAACAAACTTGAGTTTCCCACTTGCCAATATCTCTAAGGGTACGACTATGTTTAAGGCAGATTGTGAAACCACTGTCTTGATGCAGAACCTTAACAAATTAAATTAAGGCAATTTGTTCCCATTATCTCCGTGTTCCCCACGAGAGAGTTGTTTTTAAAATGACATTCAAGTAGAATCACAAATTCTTTTTAAGTGTCTAGATGGGACATGTATGTCATATTTTTAGCGCATCATTTACGCCGCAAGATGCAATTTAGGTGGAGGTAGCCTCGCTCTAGGTCCCGCCCATTAGCAAAAGGGGCTTAGTTTTTTAAGCACCACTTCTCAGCTCTCATTAGACGAAGAGATCACCGACATCTGGAATGCTCGTTGTAAACTTGCTTCTCCATGCCGCAATAGTCTTTTTTTAACCATATTTTCACGTTTGAGAAATATATAAGTCATAGCCGCTTGTAATATATCAAGAGGCCGCCACATTCGCCTTGATGCCAAACAATAGCAAACATGGCTGCCGGCATTTGTGACAAGCAGTTGCCGATGTCTATTGCAGGTAGGCAGGATTGCGGATCGAGGCTTGCTTTGCTGGGGTCGAATGGTACGGAGCGGTATATGTAGAGAGTTTAGTCATTAACTGGTAAGAATAAGGCAAAAATAAGGGCGCGTCATTGGCCAAAATTGTTTCAATGACATAGAGAGCGTTGATTGACAGCACTTGTGACCAACCACCAGCCACGAACATTCCCCTAGCGGAGGTAATGAGCTTAACTTATATCCTCCAATCACAATTTCTGGGTAGAGATGTATTCAAGAATTTATTTCAGCACGCTAGAGTTGGAATGTGCAACTCGTAACTGAGAGGGCAACGCACGTGACGGTTGCCGTCACAATGACATTCAGAATGCACTCAATCTTTTTTCGTCGCAGCCGCGGCCACAACAAAGTACACGGTCAAAACTGAAGACATGGTTCTGTAGGGGTTTTGACCCTAACCCCAAACCTGCGTGCGCAGTGCCGTAGCACCGGGCAGTGACAGACCACGAGACGAAGGTGACGACCAAAAAAGCAACTTTATATAACCTGTTGGCATTTGCGGCGCCATCCGTCAGGCGTGTCAAGAAATACAACAATGGGGTGGCAACGCCTACAGCGCACCCCATGTTCCCAATTTTGCCACATGTTTCAAGAAACTTTTCTCTTCAATGTCACCTTTTTCTGGCTCAGTAAACGCACTCAGCACCTTGAAACTCCCCATTTCCATCAACCTTTCACAAATATCTATTTACATACTTTCAGCCTCCTCCAGAAACAAAAAATACCTGCGCTGCACTATTCAAGGTCCTCTCGGATATTTCTACTTGGCAGGATCATTACGGGAATAATATGCTTTCGCCGCTCAACCCTGGCTCCCGCCGTCTCCTCCCATTGGCCAAACTCTCTCTATATACAGCTCTGGAGTGGTATATTACCGACAGCCATTGCTTCACACCAGCGAATGCATTGAACCCTATGGAGAAAATGTGCAAAGTGAGATGTGTGTTACTTATTTGACTTACTATTCCCGCAAAACCTCATAAAAGTTTCTTTACGAGACAAGCTTAAAAAAGTTCAATTTTTATTGATTCCTCCCATAGACTCGCATGTATTGCCTGGTGTCAAGCAATGGTTGCTGGTGGTGCCAATGTCGGGCTCCCGATGCACGATCCAGTCCACTATAATAGAGATCAGTGCAAGTGGTTCCCTACACTGTATAGCTCTATTCAGATGAGTGAAAGTCGCTTCGCATTTAGAGAGATGCTTATACGAAAAGCTCCTCAACCGACTTAGTTTACCGCAAACAACTGTTGCAAGTACACGCCTTACGAAGCATCGCGCGAGTGCATGTTTTCGTAGTGTCCTACAGCAACTGCTTTGCTTCACCTGGCTCCATTTGTTTGTTTGTACACAGTGATGCTGAAAAAGATGTTGGTTCCCGTAAAAGCGGCTACGCTACTCTGTAAATCATGTGAACATAGCGATTACGACAATCGTTCCAGTACCAAGGGGACAGCCACGGGTTAGAACTTGCGAGCCATTTGGCTGGAAGTCATCGGGTGTTCACCACGCATCAGGTTTGTCCAGGTACCTTCCCATCATTTTGCTCTGGGAGGCCTAGCTCTCAAGTTTTGAGCAACGCACCAGGCTCGCAAAAACAAATTTTTGAGGTCACAATAAAGTTGCGCGCCATGACGCTCCCCCACCTTGATAGCGGACACTATGAAAAACAACAAAACGGAAGAAAAAAAACAGCATAATTCTTGATTTTATATGTATATACAATTTTTCCAGCATTTTCAGGCGCCTTTTATTGACAGATCCATGGCTTCTGTATAATGGGACGCGAGAGCGACGCTTTCATGGTGGTCACTGCAGGCAATGGTGCACAGAAACTGCAGCCTATCTGATCACACGACTAGCAAATGCTGTCAGGCACCAGACGAAATTAATCGAACGTCACAAGAGGGAGACATTAGGCTTGCATAAGGAGTTCTGCCGAACAGCCGAGCCAATCCGTACTAATAGGCCTACAGCAGCGTGTTAGCGTGTGGGCAAAGAAATAACATTTTTTGGGACTTCTGTTAACGAGCTTCTAGCGTAAATGGAGTTGCAGCTAGTTTGACAAAACAACTTACAGCGGTGATGACAGTACCATAAAGTATGAGGCCTGCCATTAAGTAGTAGTTGTTCGTATGCGCTGGCTTGGATACTTCGGCCCTGGAATTCACCACAACAGGGTTAGGTCACACTGCTGTTTCGAGGGTACAATGAACACTTGCTATGGACAATCTTCAAGCGATCTAGTTTGAGGACAACAGCTGCAATTCGTTCAGATGTTTCCTCGTGTCAAGAAGGAGACAAATTTTTGTGCTGATAAATTATGATTTTATAAAGCTTTGTGCCTCTACAAAAGATTTTTACTTCCATGAAGTTTCTTTTTATCAGAAAAGAGTGAATGTATGCTAATATACCAAGTTAAATTCCAAAAAAAAAAAAAATTAAAAATACCCACAACAAGCGTTAGTTTCTGGGTATGTTTCTAAATGAAACGAAACAAGAGGGGTCCAAATCGCTACACTCCATATGAGTTATTATTTACAAAAAGAAAAGCCCACATCACCGTGAGGCATTTCAGCAGGGTGTGGGTTTCATCTTTTAAGTGCCTCGGAGGACAAGCTGAGCTCGGCGGCGGCTTTCTGGTTAAAAAATACCCCGGATGAGCTCAGCTTGTCCAGTGGTTTTTCCGGTAGCCCTTAATTCCACGAACGAGCTACACTCGTCCGAATGGTTTGCGGTGCTGATCATAGATGGCAGCACTCGTTTTAGTTGTTGTCTTCTTTTTTTCTGTGCCGTTGGTAGGATAAATGAAAATATACTCTGGTAACAGTCATTAAAAAAAATTGTGCTGGTAACAGTCATTTAAAGAAATTGTGTCGCTAGCTAATGGAGCACACGGAACTTCATCACAAAAATAAAAGCGATCGCTGAAGAAAGCTCGAGTGACTTTGAAGAAGTTGAGTTTTGCTCGTCGAGTGAAGACGATGATGACTTTGCTGCTGAACTCAGCTCTTCGAGTGAATTCAATGACGATGACGACTATGATTTGGATGGTGGCGGCGATTCCACACAGTCCGCAACCTCAAATAAGGTGGCTGTACCATACTTGGTGTTTTAGAGCGAAAACATTAACAGGACTGCCCTGATTTACTGTTTTTCTTCACACTCAACCCCAGAGGATGCAAGATGCTTAATGCATATGCAGAGATGCAAGATACTCCAAGTCAATTAAACTGGGGTGATCAAGGCCCTAGACATCTCAGCAAAAACTAAATTCTGTCTGCATTCAGCAACTGAAGGCACCAACACCTGAACTCAATGGCTTCTAAGCTCAGGATATCCAGTGGAACGGATCACCTCCTGTTTTCACCAACTGATCACACCAAGAACGAAAGAATAAAAACAAAAGACGTACGCACTAACAGATCAGCTGGTCGCATCTTTAAAATCGGTTTTAGTGGAGTATGCAGCTTCACTTTGACGTAATATTTTGGCTGTGATCATATCTCCTGCCACTAAAGCGATACCAGTCTGGTTTCGTTATCGACCGGAGCTGCCCTTTAAACAGAGCTTTAAATGATTGTCGTGGAAGTCCCGAGAAGATTACTTAAACGAAACTTGTTCAAGAGCCAATATCGTCTATTTAACAGCTTGTTGACTATTCACGAAATACTAGGCACCCCTTTTATAAACGATTTTCCTGTTGTCGACCGTGTTTCTCGAGTAACTTGAGAAACACAGCTGGCAACGTAAATGACAATTTTCACCACGCAAAAATAAAGTGGCAAAAAATAAAGCGAATACAGCATACCAGAGCGTCGAACACAATACATACCTTTTCCAATCACAATACAAAAACCTTTGTGCCAACGAAATGCCTCTGCAACACTTAACGCAAAATATTAAGTCCGCAAAAATAAAGTCGCTAACATCCGGCATCTTGAGGCACTTAAGCAACTGTCACATTACCAACTACTTGACTGCTTACTGGCCTTGCCCCCGCCCCTTGTCTTCATCTACTTCTTTGTTCCCGCTTGTTCGGCACTTTCTTCCAACAATGTATTAACTAGCCCACCTTTCAATCTTAGTATTGCCTACTAAATGTGCCTCTGGTGTCTCCAGTTTCCTTACCATTAATTCTGCACCGCTGCAATGCGTGATTGCGACTAGTGAGAGACACAGGCGCTGTCACAATAATATTGTGTCTGGCAGCTTCGCTTGACTAAATTTTGAAAGCCCATTTAAATACATTCCAATTAGAAAAGACAGGACAACGCAACCGAACCGCATGCACACAAATATGCAGCCAACCCGAGAGATGGTGCTAGTTACTGGCCTATTCAAGGGAACCACAAAGGACACCCAGCCATTTAAAAGTACCAGATCCTGTCCGCTTTGAGCCTATTGTACTCCTACCAAAGTATTTTATATGACGGGCACATTAAAAAGTCCCTTTTCCAGTTATTTCTTGGTCCAGCCCTCATACCATACCAACAATGGCTGTCCTGGGTGCCAGAATTGGAGCTAGTGCTACAAGCTTGTTCAGTAGATAAACTTAAGCTCTGTGTAGGAAAGACAAGTGTGGTGAGAGAGAGGAAAGCCGGTAGAGCTAACATTGAGAGGTGACATTTATGTGCAAAGAAGTCTTTTTTTTTCTTTTTTTTCAGTTAGCAAATGAGATTGTTAGGTACAGTACTCTTTAATATGAATGCCACACTGCAAGCGCACGACTTTGGCAGGAGGCTGCTACTGTGCCGGCTATCGTTTTCAATTCCTCGGCCACACTATTTTGGAAGTGGGCCCTTTCAAAAGTGCCACGCAGCACTTAAAACTTTCACGCTTCTTTTGAGAAAACAATGCATGCGGCTCCGACGACACGAGTCGCCGATGAGTGGCCTGCTCCTTTCAATACATGGTCGGCAATCAGCTAGCCGCCCAAAAGGTCTGACTAGCTCTCCCGACAGCCAAATCACACGTTGGGTATCTCTTGCCATGTTGACAGGAGAGACACAGCGCCTGTGTGCAAAGGGCGGGTGTTAAGGAACTGTACCCGAGTCCGCTTAAAATGCAGAAATGACAAAAACACCACCACAAAGAAGAAACATGTACATGGAAATATACCGTGTGTCAGTGCCTCTACAAATGGAAACCACGTCCTTCATGCCTTCAACACGGGAAAAGATTCTAGTGTTTCTGACACTGGTGCATGCAACAAATTTACGCACAAATTGTGTATGTGCAAGCAGGTTAATAACAAACAAAAACACTTACAGGGTGTAGACGAGTATTAAGGTTCCCCAAACCATGGGCAGTTCGTCTAGAAGCTGTGGCAGAGATTAGTGGTATGTTAACATTGGTTGATTTATAAATCCACAGCTCAAGCTCGGACCATAAACGTCCTCCTTACCTGCATCTCGAACCAGAGTGTCATATGAAAACACCACGATCCGATGCCAACAACTGGTGGAGAAGAGACATTGTTAGGACACGAGACTTGGAGCCTTCCTTTGCTTCTTTTGTGAGCGCAGACTGACTGCTTTCAACTGCGCGTGCATAGAAGTCCCGCACGACTCACCGAGCAAGAATCCGTAACACAGCACGAGCCGAGTTTCCAGGTTCTTTCTCCACGCTTGGATGGCTCCGTATGCCGGGGGCACTATCATGGCAAGGTTGCTCACCGTGTTCCCTGGAGTGCAAAGAACCATGGCATTGCACGTCTCACACAAATTCCACGACAAGCCCAAGAAAAGATTACATCTCCAAGCACAAACAAGAGGCTATCACAGAGCTGTTGGAAATACCTATAGTCGGTGACAGTTCAGGAACGAAGTGAAAGCTCCTCCCACCTCTTTCCACTTCAGCAGAGTGAACACTGGAGAGGAGATCGCCTCCACTCCAGCGTTCGCTCTGCTAAAGTGGAAAGAGTGGGAGGAGCTTCCACTTCGTTCTTGATCTGTCACCGAGTGTAGGCAACACCACTCGATCCTTGCGAGAGAGCCAAAATTAAGCGACCCAACTTTGTCTGTGTTGCAGTTTATTGAATCGCATCCACAACCTCGGTTTTAGCGCAGGGGTGGCGCTTTATTGGCGCAGCCCGCCCCAAAAATACACAGTTTTCTAGCTGGGCACGCAACTGGGTTAGAGATTGAGTGGCAAGAAAACAATGCACTCACAAGCTTCTCTGATCCATTCAACCAGGCTATTTGGGTACATAGGAGGGCAAAAACTTCCGCTACGTTCTATTGGCTCACTGAGAGGCCGTGACACAGACACGGTTCCCCTAAACGTCGCCTTTCTTCCGACTGTGGATTGTCCTTGATCCCAAGGTTGATACAAAAACGACGTCTTCTCTTTTTGCTCGACCAGCTGGAAGACAGGGAGGGTACCAAATCCATTTTTATCATTTGAGAAAACCTTGTCGCCGGCATATCTAGAGCAGGTCGATCCTCCAGATACCCTTTAAACCAGGGGCGGATCCAGAATTCCGTTTTGAAGGGGGGGGGGGGGGGGGGGGGGCAAAATTTGTAAGGATACTATTCTCCCATACTCCTCTTTCTTGTGCACCGGGGGGTCCACTTATGTCAAATTGCCCTCCGAGGAGGGGGGAGGGGGGGGGGGGGGGGGGGCGGTCGACATCGTTTGGGGCATGCCCCTGCTTTAAACCATCTGCAATGTCTCGAGTCCTTCGCAGAAGCTTCTTTTCCCGAACCATGAAGGGGGATCGGTGGCCGAGTGGGCTAGCGCGCACCTGCTCGGAGCAGGGGGAGCGAAAGCTCGGGCTGCAGAACCCAGGGACCCCTGCCCGTTTCGACCGGGATGAGCATCGTACCGGCGTGCGGTCGTGTATCACTACTGCGTGGTGCATGTTAAAGACCCCAAGCTACCGGTTGTACAGCACTGGCTTCTCACCTACAGCTGATGCTTACTGAGGCTGACTAAATTCCGGCGGCAGAAACATCAGAGAACCAACAGGTCGGGGATCCGCTCTTCCTAGAACCGAGCCACCAAGCACGATTCATTGAAACAGCAGCGGTGCTCGAGGTACTCAAGGGTACTTACAGAACTCTGCAATGTACGCCGTCACTTCATAATTCCGCTCGCACCAATCGAGAGTAGATGTCGGCTTGCCCCATACGCCATCCAAGGCTGGCGCCATCTTTATAAAAACGAAATAATCATTGCTCGGAAGTGACGAAATTATCTCTTTAGTTGTGACTTCCGGTCATTGCACTGGTTTCGATAATTCGATTAGGGGTGTCGCGAACTTTTGCCGAACCTCGATTTTGACGTAGAGCCTCAAGTTTCGACTGGTTCGCCGAACCTTCGACCGGTCCTTTTTCAAGGTTTCGACGAAGTTCGACTTATGGACAGTGTTGCCCGGCTTCTACACGAATATTTCAAATTTTTGGAAACAAATAATTTAGAAAGTAGTTCATTTTACATTTTATAAAATGGTTACCAATGTTTATACCATATAAAAGTGAAAATATGCGCTTTTAATGAAGCAATGGTGAGGGTGCAGGCTAGCTGGTGTAAATTGAGCATAGTTGTAACCCGAGACTGGGGATACGGACAAGGGACAAAAGTCGAACTTCAGTCGAACCTTTGGCGACTATCACGCTGCCATCACGTTGGAAGCTCGAAAATGTGGAACCTCGTCGAACTCGTCCCTGGGCAGGTTCGCGACATCCCTAGTTTCGATCAGTGGTTTTGGCCCAATATTTTCGAATCAAATATCGAATAGTTTCTGCAAGTCTTCATTACTGTGTACCATTCTTTTAAACGAAAATTTAGCTGAACTCGTGAAGGTTGTTTCTAACCTTCCACTTGTCCACTTCAAAGTCTATGAACTGTGGCATGTAAGCGACAAATTTGCCACAGCTATCCTAATCATAGAGTTATTATAATGTACGCTAGAGGTTCAACTGGCGCTAGTGTCTATGCGACTTCCGTGACGCAAATTGAAGCAGACAGCAACCAGTCTACTTTTGCGGTGCTCATGTGCATTCCTATGGGAAAACGCGCGTGCATTTTGCCCCTTCACCGAAAAATAACGCGGAACACTTTGGTTATTTGGGTCGTACCGAATAGTAGGTACCTTGATTAACACTGTAAAAGTGTAATTGCTTTAGTTAGCGCATTTTAATTCACCAGTGACCGATGTTTAACTTCGCTACATTTCAGTCCCAAACGTGTGTTCCGCAGCAAGTGTGTAAAAACAAGCGACGATTCGAAGCAAAATTACAATCGAAAGGAGTGTAGAGTGTGTTCAGGGCTCGCCAGCATTCCGGTGACGCTTATATATTGATAATACGCCAGTCCTGTCACTACATAAAAATGACCCCGTCGTACATGAGCGGATAAAAACCTTCAAAACGTAGAGAATAAAGTCTGTGGGCTATAAAAGGTGTCTCTTCGTATTGTTTTCTCTGCCGGGCAGCTTTTATCGGGCACTTGTTCTCAAAGATTTCGAGCGTGCGAGTGATATTTTGAACGTAGAATAAGCAGCTTCGCTCAGAGCAGAAATAATAAAGCCGTACTTACTTATTTAAAATAGGAATAGATTACGTGGCCTTCAATTAATTTTGATCGTATATGCACGTGTAGTTACTGATCCAGTTTTACTGCGTAGTTCTTGCCGTCTTTCTTAATTTCCAGATGTTCTTCGTTCGTTTGGCACGCATATCCCCCACGCTGAAAAGTGCCGACGTCGTGTTCGCGCTAACAGTGTCCGACAGTGCACATAAATACACGTACGAAGCTGTTTTAGCACCGTTTTTAATGCGATGAATTTGAAAGAAAAACACCGTAACTGACCAGTTATTTCGTCGGCCTGACTGAGAAATGTTCCAAGCTACCTAGTACGTATGAATTATTCGGGATATTTGCTCTTATGATCGAGCGCAGAGAGAAAATGCACTCACTTTTTCCCATAGAAATGCATTACCGGAAGTCAATTTTCGACTGGTTGCTGTCTGCTTCAATTTGCGTCAGCACACTAGCGCCACTTGAACCTCTAGCGTACATTATAATAACTCTATGATCCTAATCGAGGGGATTCATAAATCTTGAGGCTTAGGCGAGGTCACTGGTCGATACTTCGGAATTAGAAACAGCGCGAAAAGACGAGGGCCAGACAAAGAAGTAACACGGACGCAGCGCTGCGTCTGCACTTCCTTGTCTGGTCCTCGTCTTTTCGCGCTGTTTTTAATTCCGAAACTGATATATGCAAATATTTCTACTTCTAAATAAAAAAAAAAAAAAAAAAAAAAGAAAGAAAATGACTTGATTATTAATGGGTTTCTGACCGGTACCATTTTCAGTGTTCGTGCGTATGGCGCGAGATTTGCTCGCATCGCGACGCGACGAACATGTGCGTGCTGGGCTGAGGAGATGCACGCTGGGCTGAGGATTTGTGAATATTTGTACTCGGGAACGCTTCAGCTGTGGGGACAACAAACCGAATTTTCTTGTTTGTTGGTGGTCAGAGAAATCTCAGATGACGATTCGAAGGCCGCTCCTCGTGCGACCAAAGCACTGGTCAGAGCGAAGCGCACATGCCCAGACCGCGCTAGGCGACTTCCAATTTCTTTGTTATGCTATGTTAGTAAATACCGGACTGTATGGACAACAAGCTGCATAAAGTGCCCCCTATAGTGCGATCTCCTTCCTGCCCGATACCTGGGGACAATTTTTCTTGGAAATAAAGCCAAAGCTATGGGTACCAGCGCACTCGCGGGCATTGAGCGCCCATCACAGCTGTGTTCGCGCTGTCTTCACTTCTTCGGAGATCCAAGAAAAAGTTGTTCCCGTGTAGAACATATTTGCACAATAAGGCCCGTTCACGCTCTTGCGACCGAGTTAGACCGAGAGAGACCAGACCTGTTTTTAAGCCTCTTGCGACTTCTTAGGACCAGCTCCGCTGCATCGCATCCGGTCCTAAGAAGTCGCAAAAGGCTTAAAAACCGGTCTGGTCTCTCTCGGTCGAAGTCGGTTGCAAGAGTGTGAACGAGCCTATAGCCCCGTTGAGTGCGCTTCTCACCGAGCACCTATGCACTGCGGAGAAGCTATATCCGCGGAGCACGCGAGCTGTGCAGATATTGCTTCGCCGCAGAGCACAGGTGCTCGGTGAGAAGCGCACTCAACGGGGAATCCCGCGGCTGTCAACACATCGAAAAGTACGAATATCGCAGTACACCTCGAAGCGAATATTAAATAGCGTGATATTCGAAACTACAATTTGAACAGTCGAATATTCGCACAATACTGTTTAGTAGATTAAGACTATTTCCACGTCCACTTCCAAAATAATTTTCAATATTATTTTGACGTCCGTGACGTCACGTCCGTGAAGACAGGTAAATACCTTTAAAAAGTTTGACGTCCCGCTTTAAAATATTTTTTGTGATTATTTTGACGTCTCCAACTTAGAACTATGCAGCCACAGTTTCACTTTGGCTCCAAGGTCTCACTGTGGCTCCAAAGCTCCAAACAGTTTCACTGTGTTTGGAGATTCGGGGTCCAGTCTGGGAAGCGATTGAAGGTGGCGGTCAAAAAAAAAAAAATATTGCAGGCAGCGTCGCAATTCGACAGGCATTTTCCGAAAAAAAAAATCTTATGCAGTCGATTGTTGCTTTAATTACCTTTTTAAATAATGTGGAATACAAAACAACAGCAACAACAAAAACTTCTTAGAGTACACAGCTATCAGGCTACACGTAACATTTGATTGGTTGTGCCAAACATACAGAATGCGGCACCGCTGCTTTTCACGATTTATTTCGCGTGATTTATATAGAGAAAGGAGCTGAATGCCGTGTGATAAAATTTGCAGTTAATTCAAAAATGCGTGTATCTCGTACAAACGCGCCAGAACTTTTGTTCGTACCGGCCAAGAAACAGTAAACAGCCCAACAAACCACGCGTATCTGTCGGACGTCCGTGGCAGGTACGAATATCCTGTGCCTGAAGCGGACGTCCGTAGAACGTACACCGGACATCAGTGTCTGTATATCCAAATCGGAGATGTGCTAGATGTCCTAGGGATGTCCAAATCAGATTTCCAACGGATGTCTGCCGCACTTCCATTTATAGACGTATACACAGGACATCCGTTCTGCACATCCAAATTGGACATGTGGTTGATGTCCTAGGGATGTCTAAATCAGAGTTCCAACGGATGTCCGCCGAACTTCCATTTATAGACGTCCACAGGACATTCATTTCTGTACACCCAAATCAGATATGTACTGAATGTCTAGAAGACTTGTACGTAATCCGTTATAAGTGACAAAATTACTTGTAATCCCTTACATTTATCGGCAATTTAGTAACGGAATAATTACGTATTGGCTAGAGTAATTGTAAAGTAATTCCCTTACATATTTACCTAACCGATTCGTTGTAATCCTTTACATTAAAAAAACGTTTTTTTGTTGTTGGTAATGTTGAGCGCCATCACACTGTCACGCACATTGACCAGCGCAAAAGGAGGCATGGCACTCTTCAGTTGCCCAAAGCCTTTCTTTTCAACACCAAGCCCCTGAATCTATTTGAATTTATATTTTTTTGACCCTAACAACAATGTCAAAAAGTCTAAACAAACACCCCCCCTCCCCCCCCCCCCCCCAAAAAAAAAAAGGTGGGGGGGGGGGGGGGGGCAAGCATTTTTTTGTTTTGTTTGCGATTGAAGACGGGGAGAGGAGGACACCAAGTGTTGTTCCTCTTCTTGAAGCTGGAGGCGGTAAGTGCACAGACAATAATTAAAAATATCCTTCTCGGTTATAGTGACTACGGCCATTTTCATGTCACAACAGGAGAGAACGCTCCGTGTACTCTAAAATCCACTAAAAGAGATGTGATAATATGGGAAGGTGTTATTGCCATATGCATCTTCGTTCGCTACTGCACACTTCTCATCTTGTCTTCGGAAACAGGACGTATTTTTTCTACTTCGTTTCACCTTATTTGACCCTGTTTTGAAGCTACTTATTATTTTATCCCCAGAAATCTGTGCCATCGCATGCTAGCGCCATCTCTTGGCGGATTATGGCAACGCTCCCATAGAAGCAATGTATTAAATATAGAAATACGGCAATATTTGCTCAACATCACATTTTTTCAGATTTGCCATGCTACCCGTCCAATCTCTGACACAATCCAATCCTTCCGCAAAA